AGCTCAACTCATATCATTGTGGGAAAATTCTACTACCAGTCCTTCATCACCTTAGACGAAATAGGGTGATCAGATGTCATATTACTGATTTACTGGTAGTCTTTAAACTCTACTCTAATACGCTAATAATTACAAGTGCTGTTGATTAATAATTGATCAAATATTTATGCATCATTTCAGCCTTTCGTCTAAGATGAGGTGAATGTTAGACAAGTTAGCCAAATACTTTTTTAGACAAATTAAAGATATGGGATTGATAATATGATGCTTAAATAGCATATAGTTACATAAACACACTAATAGATGCCCTTCATTCATAAATGACAAATATACGATAGACATATAAAAAAAATAGTAAAAAAGGAAAGATTAAATCTGTTTTATTTCCTTGCTTTTCTCGAAGTTGGGTGATTAAATTTCTTACTCAAATTTGAACATAGTTGACATCATGAGGGAGAAATGTATTGCTTGACGAAATAAAACGATCAAGCTGATGAGAGGATATGCAAATTTATACGCGTAAGTGATTAAAGTATTTGAGATCATTATACATTTATCCGCATCTAAGCCTATGCTACGGATCTTAGAGGAACTTCACATTACAAGACTCTGCTAACTAAGCTAATCGTGCTTTTATGAAAACTTCTTAACTACTTGTCCTTAAAAAGGATAACGAACCAATTTGAAAAAATGTAAAGGCCGAATCAAGCGTTTTGAATCGAACGCTTTAGGCAAACTGGCCAGTCAAAAAGTGACAGTCTGGTGACAAAGAGTGAAATAAAGATGTACCTCATCACAATCAAGTTATAATGAAGCCAAATTGCTGAGGACATTCGATCATCAGATGGAAGGAGTGGGAGAACATGGTTGGGATACCAACTCTCTGCGGGATAGAAGGCTGACGAGTAATAGGGAATATTTGAATGAATAAAATTATAAAACACTGAGACAAAGTAATAAGGGTCGAACTGCATTTTTCACTCGGCCTAATCTTCGTCTGGTTCCTTTCATGACTCCTCGTAGTAAGGATGACGTATAGCAGGTCTACGAAACGTTTGATCCTGTACCTTTACCGAAGTTACGGTAGGATGTGCAACCTCAAAATATTTTCCTGACCAATACGAGCAGGCTGAGAGAACAAAGTCGAAGTGGAATCTAAATGATCACTATCGCTTTGTTCGCTACTATCAACCCCATGATATATAAACGGGATACACCATTTACGCATGATGCCGCATGGATTCTTAGCCATTTTGTCTACAGTAATTAGCGAGGAAGGGTTGATTTTCCTGTGAAATTCATTGCGTCTTGATTAAAACGGCCTTCTGAGTTGCGGAGTTCAGAAAACTTTTAATCAGAGAGAACGCTTTCTCTTCAAATAATAGCAGATGGTACGGTTATCCGCCCCATTACAACATTGGAACTAGTGCATCTCGTCAGTAAAGAGGGCAATGCCTTGATGATACCGAACCCTGAATGGCCACAGGTCTGGCGGCCAAATGCTGTTCAGTGGAGTCGCATACCATTCGGCATCCTCTGAGTGCAAATGAGGATGGTGGCGCTGATTTCGGATTGTGCACAAAGAGTGAAAGTTAAAAAAGAGAAACATGATATTGTCTGGGGGCTGTTTTGGGTAGATCGCGGCTACACCTTCATCAGCCGCGGGGATTTTGTGCATGACGTCAAGACCTGGCGTTCCATGCTAATGTAAGATGAGTCAGAGTGGTTAACAAATGCCCTAATTTTGCAACAGGACCGAGCAACAAGCTTAAGAGGATATGAATCTTCAGAGTGAACCCTGGCCCCGTCGAAGCACCAAAAAGCTCTGCTCAGATTGTTTTCAGTCTCGGTAGAAGAACAAGTCTTGAGCATATAGTTTCTGAAAGTGTCTAACAGACTGGGATGTGGCCAATGGAGAAGCACTATTGGTCTATGCGAAGAACATGTAGGTTCCGACGAGCCTTTTGAGATGCTTTCATTTCGCGTGAAATTGACTGATAAAAAGATCCAATGATCAATCTTACCGGTAGATGACGGCTCTGGAATTTGAAAAAAATTTATACGAGCAAATCTCGATTAGTATGACTCTTTCACACTGCTAAAATGTTATGCAATTTCAAATCTTAATATTTAAAGCAATTATAACATTTAGTCATGCAATTTGTTCCATTCCATTGAAACAACTTAATAAAAGTTCTTTAATGCTATTTTTCTCAGTTTGCTAATGCAACATGAAAACTAAAATAATTAAAAGGTATTCGAAAGCAAACGGTTATTACAAACTGAACAATATAGTATAGGAAGCCAAAATATAAATAGTATTAAAAAAAGGTAAAGTTTAATGCACGTAATTGAAAAACTATTAAGCCCATAAATGATTTTGCATGCACCAATTAAAAAGTTTACAAATTCGAACCAAAATGTATTCATGGTTTACTAAAATATTCTAACAGCGTTTTTAGAAAAATCTTCTCTTTCATGTCTTCCTTAAATATTGACGTTCGTTTGTTGAAAACATTTTCAGTTTCTGTAGATAACTGATGCATGCGCTTTGCTACTCTGTAGACTTGAATACTACTAACATATTTAGTTGGTGTCACTTAATAACTCATACTAAATTGAATAACCAACTATTAGAATTCATATTAATCTTGAACTGCTTATACACAATATATAATAATTTGTTTAGTTCCTTTTCGTGCCGAATGTAGTACTCATCTACTTGAGTACCCGTGTGCGTTTAAGCCAGAGTATGAAACCACCATTCATGACTCATAGCAATTAAAATAGAGACTAACATAAGTCCAGGGTAATCAAAAGTTAATAAACCGAGGAACAGCACGATTTATTTCACTAATAATCTCTAAAAGAAGGAACATTTCCCATAGACAGCATCATATTAAAAATAATTGTCAATTCAAACAGAATAATCCGCCAACGTTTAGTGGAATCGGACTATGAATCTCTTCATCAGTCACTTTATCACAAGGTGACTGTCCTCCCAAACCAATCTGACTGGCTGAAGGCAGTCATTCGAGATTCAGCAAAAGTAGTCAATGACAAACTATTGGATTGGTACTAGCCATGAAGGGCAATTTTGCCTTTGGCACAAAGCACTCTTGAAGTCACCATAAAAAGGACTATTTTAACACAAAAATGCTCTATTACAAGGTGTTGTATCTCATCTCAGGTAGACTTGGCCTGGCGGAGACTTCATCAGCAGCTTGACCTTGTCG